TGATCACATTCGTTTTCGTGGTGTGAGTACCGTTTACCATAGGTTTGCATTATATGTGCTCTTAAACTAATTGTATCATAATTGTCCTGTTGCTCTAGATTGCTTCCACGACAAGAGTGTGTCTTCTGTGTTTTGCTCTTCCATGTCCTCACATATATTTCTATACTTAAAGAACATATTCTTCACGCTATTCATAAACGCTTTATGTATAAATGTAAGACGGACATTAAGATAAGAAAGCAAAAAAATTACAACGAATTTCATAGCCCATATAACAAAGAGATGTTCGCCATGCCTGATGTCTACTAATCATTAGTTGTATGTTACTATGTTCACATCTCCACAAGTGTACAATAATCAGCAGAGATAAAGTTTTGTATTTATTGAAACGCAGTATCTCTTTGTAAAGCCTAGCTCACAGTTTGAATGACCCATGGTCACAGAGGATGAAACAAGAAATAACAGAAAATAGGAAGTGTAGGTGTTTGCTTCGTATTATACCAACTAGTTAGCATCACCACATTATACCAGAAGATTGAAAAAGCGTTTCACACAAACAACGTCATGCATAAACACACTTTCCCATAAAATGTGAATCAATAATATCATTTGCGGAAAAATAAGCATACAGTTGCTGTACTTCTTATTATTTACATTATTTTAGAGCTCGTATGCTCCCCAGTACCTAGGAGGAAAGCATGGCAGCCGCACCGGACTGAACCGTATGTACTCGGGATTTGCTCGCGAATGGGCACCACAGTTTTGAACGGTTCGGTTGAAAAGTTATCCTTTACTTACAAGTCCAACCAATGACAAGCCTTCGGCTGACCTTTATTAGCGAATGTTCGAACAATGTGACTCTTAGTTTCACAAAGTATAATGCTATGGGTATATAGGATACTGTAAAAATCAATAAGCCCTTTTTTCTACTCAAAAGTATGTCGGGATCGGAGATTTAGAAGACAAGGGTTTTTTCAAATGTAATTCCTATCTTATTCATTTCTAGGTCCAACGCTGCCGTCCTGTACAATGCCGACCTCCTAATGCGATTCACATCGCTTTAAAAGCTCTATAGAAGTACAATAACGATTCGATAGCTTTCTTTCTCAATAATGCATTACCCTATAATCAAACGTTACATTACTTAGTCCCTCCCAATTATTTCTTCTCTATAGTTTTCTCACTAGTACTTTTTAGACCTGTGTAGAAGGGCGCTACATTTCTTCTTATCCATGCTACTTCAGAGTTCTATTTAGAAAGATGAGCCTA